TACAATCAATGTTTTATTTTTGTTGTATGCATTGTGACGGCTCAATCTTGGTACAATTTACGACATCGTTGTACGCTAAACTTAGCTGCAATTTGCATATAGACGGGAAGCAGTAAAAAAGGTATTGTAGTTGTGCTTTGATATACCGCAGTTAATACGGAAATTACTCTCACTACGTGATGGATTACACTTCTATGAATTTTATTTATACAAATGAAGGAAGAAAAAAATAAAAGGAATGCACATTATGAATGCAAATTCGTTTTTGTTATTCTTAGATGTTTGACACATAGACAATGTTATTTTGTTTGTTTTATACCACGAAAATCAGGAAACAATTTGAAGACAAAAACTAGTTTTAAATATTAAATTGTGATTAATTTATTACTGAACGCATCCAAATTAAACTGGATATATTATTTATAAATTCGAATGCATAATAAACGTATATAAGCATGCTTGGGATGAATCTCCTGTATTGTATTAAGACATTGTCTGAGGGGCGTGGATGTCGTGCTACAAGCTCTGTGGTCCGCTAATGACTGCTTCGTTAATGGCAGACTGAATGCTAGCTGGAATGATGCTTACAAAAACGAGAGTACTGTTTTATTACAGCTCTGAATTTTAAATCACCTGTTTGAGATTTCTTTTTTTTTTCTCAATTAGCCCTTTTGGAAAGGCTAATCTTAATCCATGCTGCCTAGAATGCGATTTCTGTAATGACGAATATATATAACCGAAGGCAAACATAATAGAGCCAAAGATAGTATGTAGTTATTTTTGAAATCTTAAATTAGATTATTTTTAAGTAAAATGGAAGAGTCATATAAGCAAACAAAGTTAAAATATAAATTTCGATTTTTAATATGTATTTCAAATTTATGATCAAAAACTGAAAAAAAAATTACTGACGGCTGAGAATACGTCAGAAATGTTAATTTTAAACAGGTATATAATTAGACTAGTCTGTAATCTCGGGACATGTAAACGATATAACACGATTTTAAAATAACAATGTATGTAAATAGAGAAATCAGATCGGCTTTGTTTCGATATCAATTGAAAAAAAAATGCTTTGTCACATAATAAAAAATAATATTAAAACAGTTTTCATTAAAATTTTCACACGACTATCGCGAAACGGATGCCGCCCCTCAGGATATTCCCCATTGAAGTTCTTGAGACACAAGTGCTGCATGATACGAGCAGTTCATAATGGTTGATGACCCTACAGGAATGCTGACCCAAGTTAAGTGTATACGGATACACAGAAATACGTACGTGATGAATTTGGCAAAGAGCATTCGGTATCTGTGAGAACGGATATACTGTTTCGACTGAGATCACAAAAAACCTACTTTAAATGAATACCATGGATAAGTACCATAAAAACATCGTACAAGGACAATTTATTGCTTTTTTTTAACATATACATATGTAATGCAAAGACCTCCAGTAAGGTAAAGAGTTTTTTAATTCAAGTAACCACTTACTTTTTTCTTATCTACATATTTTTTGTACAAGTATAACATATAAAACATGTGATTAAGTTTGGCGGTCTCATAATTTTGAGTATAAAAATCTTTTAACAAGGAAGATGCGAAAATAAAATATCAAGTCTAGGAACTCAGTTCAGAAACAGAGTTCTCGGAAAGGATGGTGTAAAAAATACAAACTGTCAACTGTCGTTTTTGAAATGGGACTCGTAATATATTCGTAACTTTTGATATTTTAAATCATATAACGAGTTATTATATTAATGATTAATTATAAGGTAATGTATCGTATTGATTTATTATATAAATATAAAATGCCAACCAGTTACGTATGGTTAAGGAAAAAATAAAATTACTATCAAATAGTTTCTCGAACTATTAATACTAGATTTTACACTGTATTTATGGCTCTATAATGACATCTAGAACTTTCGCGAGCATTCATTTAAATAAAACTATTATTTTTGTATGTACGACGGCAGGCGAGATTAAAATACCTTTGATCACGGTTGCTGCAAATTAACCGAAACATCGGGAGTCGGGAGTATGTAGTTAAATAAAAAAGCGGGTAATACCTACATCCGAAAATATTAGTTTTATTTAAATTATTTTAGTTAGGAACCATAGACTCATATTGTAGAATATATCGATACCGTCTGACATGACCGGACAATAGAAATACCAACAAAAGGTATATAGATAAATAATTGTTATATTAATTTTAAATATTAAATTATTTTACTCATTTGTAAATACCACTGATATTATTTCTGTACTATCTAGAATGCGAAATCTATACAATATTACCACTTGAATATTTCTCACATTCAGAAGAACTATTCCTTAAAGTTGATCTTAAAAAAGTGGTGAAAAACTTTAAACAATTCAGCCAGATTTATGAACTGTTGAATTATATTAAAATTGATACTACACAACATTATAGTCATTCTTATCATAAAAAAGTATTAGTGTATTAAAATTATATATAGTATCTGAAAATTTGAGTTTTCTCTTAAATTCTGTACTTAGAAATCATATTTCAAGACAAGGATATTGGTGAACGTACTTTTTTTTGACGAAAAGGATTTATAAAATAAAATATATAATAAAACAGTAAAGTTTATTTTATTATTGTAAAAAATAAATACAATCGCAACGAAACAAAATCCAACAAAAACTTACAAACTATTTATAATTAATTAAATAAATAATATAAAACTAAAATACTTTGTACGTACATTAAATTATAGCATTGATAGTTATACATGTTTGAACTATACTAATAATCTCACTTTGGTAAACTGTGGTTAATAAATTCCAGTTAAATAATTTTTGTTATATACCTATAACATTGCTAATACATACAGTATATGTAATAACAATTTTATGTACTTAAATGAAATTCGTAGATAATTTAAAGTAAACTTAACACAATATTACTTATCATACACACTCTTAAACTGGGCTTTTTCATAAAAATTACTTAATACAAACAAAAAACACACGTACACCCAAAAGAAAAACGAAATTTTACACTATATATCTATTCATTAACATATCTGCCATAATTATTTTTATTAGAAAAATATTATTTTAGGTCTATATTTGAAATTATATAATCAAATTTAAGTTAAAACGTATATTTTAAGAAGAAATGTCTTCAAAACGAAATAATTATACCGGGAAGTGAAGATTCATACATTAAATGAACCGCGTTGCATTCATATTCTTATGAGACGGTCTCTTTAGCATGCTTTGCATAATGCATTAAACTCTTGCTACGGGCGATGAAACATTAGTTTGCGACTCCGTGAAATGCATAATATATACAGGGTGACTGGTGAATTACTATCGATATTTGAGGACGTGATATTTGACGATCATATATGACGAAATAAAAATTAATATAACATAAATATTAATAAACTTCTAAGTAAAGTTAACCAAAAGTTGTGTAATTAATTACGCATCGTATGAACACCCTACAGATTACTCTACACTACACACTCACACATACGCGCGCGGCGGCGTGTTGTTGTATCAGCACGCCGCCGCACGCGTCCACACTAGGAACACTTGGAACGTATCCACACTTTATTTATTTATACGGAAATTTGGTCAAAAATTAAGTACCTATTTTTTTACATAATTCGAATGAGAATCATGTACCGAGTATGCTCCTTAAATATTGATAGTAATTCACCAGTCACCCTGTATAAACGAAGTTTATTTGTTAAAATAATATCCCTAAATATGATACTGGTAACACTATAAGTGTTGCAAGAATTAGGATTTTTTATTGATATTTTTTTACACAAAAAAGGTTGTGTATATGTTTGTGAGATATAAAAAATATCGTGAGCAAAATTAATATACTATTAAAACAAAATTGTCCAATTATTGGTTTAAACGCACGAACTCAAACTTTTAAAATGATCTTAATTTTTTAGAAGAAATAATACCGAAATTAAACAGCATAGTAAAGTTTGTGTAATTCGAATAAAATGAGTTTATTTTGTATAAAAATTCTATGTTTTGTAAAGTAGAAGATGTTATACATATGTTGTCTTCAGTATTGGAGTGTTGAGACGTATGGAACCGGTTTTAAGCCTCTTCATTACAAGCCAGGGCGTAACGTAAGACTACGATTGACTCTTCATGGACATATCACGACTTGTATATTTCATGGGAGTCATAATTTAATTTCCCATTTAAGTCGACATCTCAGCTTAAAAACTTCTAAAACGTGACTTAAAAGTACATTCAAAGGGACATTTCTAGTATTTTACGATTTAAATTTAGAATTCTGTTATGATTTATGATTAGGTTCTTTATCTCAATACCAGTTGAATGAACTATGAATTTACTTATATCACCTCTTTAGTCCATAGATTCATGTACTTAATGAATATAAGAATTCGAATTATAAATTATATGTATATAGGAAAAACCTCGATGTATTATCTTTATAGATATTATTTTTAAAAAGGATGTTTAATAATAAATATATAGGGTTACATCAAAACTTTGAGTCCGACACAAATGAGAAACGATTAGTGACGCCCGGAATTAGCCACTACATATAACCACTTCCTCGTCCACCATTGATCTCATTCTGTCCTGACTGAATGAGTTTGACAGAGATGGTATATTTTTCATCTATCTCATGTTAGAACGAGCGTTAGATGTTTGTGTTTAGAGTTTAGATCAATCGGCGTGGCGTCGCGACGGGAACAACCCCGCATTTGTCACCGGACCACCGGCGCCGCTGTATTTATAGCAACGCCCGCGCATGCGCCGGTGGGCGGCTAGAGCGTTCCTTATTCGAATTTCGAAGTCCCATCGAACGTAATCTATTCGGTCTCTAAATATTATAACTATATCATACTTAGCCCTTGTAATCCTCTTACATTATACTATACATAATTCTATAACTGTTTTACATATATACATTTTATTTACAAACTTATTACAGAAGCATGAGGTAGACATCAAAGTCTATGGTCACGTGTAAGCTACACGCAATGATAAACATATTATAATTAATATTTTTGCTAATGGAATGGTCTCTGCAGCTGACGCTACCACTTGGTGGTGATGCTTCTTAAGTTTCTCTTCGTATCTACTCTCGTGATTCTTAGTGTGGTTCTTCAAATGTTTGTGGAAGCACAGCCTGGCTAAATTGTTCTGCATCCTTGGACAATCATAGTCTTCATTACCGTCGCATCTGCAGACAGTTAAGGCAGCGGCTTTCTCTTGTTTTCTAAGTATTTCTATGGAGTTAAGGCATTTGTTAGAGCATTTCCTGCCCCGGTACACTGAGCGGCATAGCTGGTTGTAGTAATCTAAGGCGGTGGCACACTGGGCGTCTGCTAGACAGATTAGTTGTGAGAGTCTACAGGAGTTTGTAGCATTAGCAGCTCCTCTCAAAACCTGAGGACGACAAACTTCCATCCTCTGCTTCGCCTCCCCACAATACTCGTCTTCACATTGGCACTGTAACAAAAATACAAGTATAAGCCAACACATTCTTTATTTTCAATCATATTACGTTAAAAACCACAGAAGTGAATTTAAATTAGCATGTTTATAGTCGTAATAAAATATATGAGGAAGAGCAAATATATTTTCATAAAAAAAATATATTTGAGAACATAAAATCTTTACGACTCCAGATATAATCCGACAGTATAAGTCTACACGACGTGTGATTTTTAGAACGTTTGTAATTTTATACATCTATATAAAATTTAAACTATTAAACATGTCTAGTTGTGTTCGACACAAGTTTGTCAGAAACTATGTCGTAACTGAACCTACTTCATCATTCAGACCAAATTATGACTTTGACGAATTCAAACGAAATTTTTAACGAACAAAAAACGTTATTATCCTATAACCGTGTCGAATATATTTCAGTACAGATGCAAAACGATAAAAATCCAGATATCCCCATGAAACTAATTAACGTATAGCTGGACGTTTAATTAAATGTGGATTTATGTCGCGGTATTGTGATGGCACAGATAAATAAAAGAGCGGTACCCGTCTTACGCTATGTTTTTTGTTTGCGGCAACACCTGCCCGCACTGCGGTAGGTCCCGATCAAGACGTCAAATCTCAAGGCTGTATGGCAACATTTCGATACATTGCCCAACCGACATATTTATACTGTTACAAAGACATAATCAACTTGACCGGTTCCAGATAATGCAAGCGAGCGTTTCCTAAAAAAAACTTAGGCGGGAACAATCTATTCGGATACGGTAACATTATGTTAATAACTCAATCTTGTACACTTATAGTTTAAAAAAGAAATATTATATCGCAAAGAGGCTGTTATTATTTTTTATATTAAATTTTGGCTGATATTATAAAAATGGTAACCTTAATGGGGTTATAAATTCGTTTTTGTAGCAAAACAGTTACTGTTCCTACATCGGTGGCCTGTGATTCAGACAGCCAGACAGATGTAAAGTTACGTAATTCGAACACTATTACAATGTGCACCTATTTCTTATTATATAAATAATTTATTTACTAACATAAAAAATATATCTATTTTTATACCAGTTCAGTATGCAAAGATTTTTTTTTATTGAATACAAAAGTATAAATTCATTATTAAATCGAGTGTCATCAAATATATTATTTGCATGTTATTAAAAAACATCATTTAGTAATCATCATATAGTAATAAAAATTAAAAAAAAAGCAAATGAAAAGATAAATTACAGAAAAAAATCTGTATACTTTTGTGGTCTTTGTTGTATAGTTGAAAATTTTTTAAAATTTAAAAAGAAATATTGCAACACTGACATTGCTAAGTACACATATTTTTATAATACATCAGTAAACGGCTCAATTCTTATTTGAATACAATAAAATTAATAATTTTCTTAAACCAACATAGTTTGCTCCATAAAAACATCAATTAAATTTATTTTCGACATTAAAGCATATAACATAAAAGAATTATAGAACATTTCATAGCTTTAATCAATCAAAAATTTATCTGTAACAATATTAAGAGGCAATGAAAGGTCATTAACCTTAGCCCTCGGTAGATGGCTATGCGTTGTCCGACAAATCTGACGTCTAAATTAGATTTTATTGCGGGCGTCTGTACAAAACCACGCCGATATAAATAGACCTCCAGTGCCCCATATAAAACGCATAACAATAAGAACAATTGGAGGAACTGAAGCAAATTACGGCTCAAGACAATCTGGTCTTCACAATTGATGAGCTCAAACAAGTCGTGATGAAAAATTATTGAAGCAAACATAACCTTTGTTCCACAGTTTATTTTTGATCTCTGTTATTATTTACGATAGAAGTTCGATATATCGTAATCATCTTGTCCTTTGACCTTCTTAATATATTTTTTCCACAACACATTTGACTTTTTGCCGACCTTCGTGTCTTGATTAGCTATTGATGAATCTGACCCAAAATGTATGTCTGGGAGTTTATCTTTCTCAATATGAAGTATCAATCGTGACGTACACGAATATGTTCAAACACTATTTTCCCGCTAAAAGATAAGTTTAAAAAATTTTTTCCTTATACAATCTATGCCTTCAAGTTATCTATAGATGTGATACTAATGATAATTATAATGAAATGTATAAACAAAGCTATAGCATAAATTAATTCATTAAATATACACTAGTTTTTGCCAGCGACTCGGTCTGCGATAACATTACAGTTGCGCTCAAAGAGAAATGTATAAAGTGTGTTGAAATAATATACTTTACAGCCTTTTCATTTTAAACAACCTAGATATAGACTGCAGCGCCATCTGCCGACTTGACTAATGAATCTAAACCATCCGGTTCTGCTAAATAAATGCATACGAAAAAATTCATTCAAATCGGTCCAGCCGATTAGAAGTTTAGTGACATACACATTACACATGTGTAGTAGAATTATTATATTGTATTATATATAAAGACATATGTACATAAAACAACTCATAGCAAAGTATCAGTGAGTAAATACAACTCATAGTGTTCTCAATGTATGTCAGTCTTTCATTTCAGACTATGTACGGTTCACGTTCATATTTATGCCATCGATACTGTAAGCTCTCATATCAAAGCACATAAAAGTTTCAAGTGAAGAATATATATCCACAATAGTGTGATAAGTTAATATTTAACATTAAAAATATAGAATAATGAAAATAATTAAACCATTTCATATACATATATCCACTGTCAATTTTTTTATATAGACGTTCAGAAATTTATATTCAAATGAAGAACTGAGATCATTGTGTCTGTGACATGACAATTGAATAGTAATATAGTTTCATAGGTGGTAGAGCCTAGCTGTGATCAGTTACTACATCTCGAATATGTGCTGGCTCGACCGGGGAAGTACCACCCTCTCACAGAAGATCGGCGGTCATAGTCATTAATGACTGCATTTCGTTCAATGAGTGAGAGAGCCAGTTGCACCTTCCCTGTTCCCACCCTTTCCCACCTTTTCCTCAACATCTAAGGTTTGCAATGCATCCGTAACATCTCCTTTATTGCGGATATCTATGGGCGACGGTGACTATCGTCCATCAAGTTAACCGTCTGCTAGTTTGCCACTTTTCACATAAAAAAAGGTATAAATGAATCAGCACTTACATTCATCAATTCCTTCCCTTCCTCAGTGGACGTCAGAGCTATTAGGGCGTGTTCACATGCTTTAGGGCACACGGACGTAGGTTTGGACAGTACTTCGTTGCACAGATACATGTAGTTGTTCAAGGCAGCCCCACAGCCTGTACGGTAGGCGCACCTCATGCGAGCCTCCTCACACGGAGTCCCCTCCACCAGCGACAGAGACAGCATCACCAATAACCACCACATAACCTGCGAACAAATGTACTCATTATTAATGAAATCTCGCCTCTTGTTGCCGAGGGCGCGGGTTCAAACCTGGTAAATACCAATGTGATTTTTCGGAGTCATATGTACTTTGTGAGAGTATTTAGACACCACTGACATACGGTGAACGAAAACATCGTGAGGAAACCTGGACTTATAGTTTCACAATTATAAGTTTGAAATCACCAACCCGTTTTGAGCAAGCGTGGTGATTAATGCTCAAACCATCTCCATGTGAGAAAGAGGCTTTGCTCAGCAGTGGGCTCTGATAGGCTGATGATGATGATGAATAATGAAATTATCGATAATGTACATGAGAATAATTTCATTTTAATTATAAATATTAACCCTAAATCACGATAATAATTATTATTGTGTACGACTTTTTTTTTCCTAATAAACCATTTGGAAGTATTTGTACACAGTACACAAGCTTTGATGTGTAACAATTATGTTTTATTATACGAAAAGAATCGTAAGACCCTTAGTAAGTAGAATAACAGCGTCGCGAAACTTCAAACGATATGTAAGTTCGGTTCATAATCAAAACTTCATGATACAACAAATAGCTCGTATTAATCTGAGTGGAAAACTTTAATTACACAGTCAATTAAACAAACTTCTTACCCGCTTCATATTATGTAGTGGATTAAGAACTTTATTCATGTCAATGAAACCAATATTTTTCGGATTATACTACGCGTATTTTATGATTGTAAAAACTACATACTCCTAACGTTTCGCTTACTTTTCAGCAACCGTGATCACATCTCGTCTGTTCGCGAAAGTCACGAAAGTTTTAGTCTCATTTATTTATATCTTTGTCACTATATTGAAAAATAAAAACTCTAACTTAATAAGCAAAGAAAAGAGGATTTGTTTAAAGTTTCTTTGATAATTTGAGCTTATTTACACCAATGAATCGGTGATAGTAGTTTTTACGTAAAACAGTACCAAACCTATGTACATTGTACATACTTTAATACATATTTATATGTTTTACACTATAATATTAATAAGCTATGGTCAATCATTTATATGTTAACGCGAACGTAAATCGCAACGAACATACTTTATTAATACGAATGTCATACATAAAAATTATATATTATTTTATATATAAATATAAATTACAAGCAATCATTAATAATATTCTACTAGTTTGAAAACAGAAAATATAATATAGTAAGTATAAAGAATTTAAAACGAAGCCACGTGACATCATTCGTTTTTTTATTAAATAAAAACTTTTTGTAACAACATAAATTAGTGACGTAGCAATTTTACATATCTGGCAACACTAACAGTTGTAACAAGTCTTGCGCAACCGGTAATGGTGTACGTTTGACCAAAATGGTCTAATCTACATATCACAGAAGGTAAACATATTACATGAGATGGTAATCCTCGAGTGGAGCCTTCTCGGAAGCTGCGAGCGACTAAACAAACGGAATCCCGGCACGTAGATACACTGGCTACTTACTTACACGTACATCAACAAGGGTTGACACGACAAATAAAACATAACTAACTACTAATATGGAATAAAGTTGCTCACAATAATATTATTATAGAAATATTCTCTTCTACCTAGCAATTTCCCAGCTATAGCCAGGGTCTGCCTTGCATGTTGTGAATAGTTTTGGCTATTTGTTTTTACGACCGACCGTCTGCCTGACATCAACCCTCTTTTTAGGAATCAACATTAATCAGTGATGTCTAAATACTCTTAGAAAGTACATATGACTCAGAAAAATCACATTATTATAGAAATATATTGGACATAATTATAACATGTTCATGTATTTCAATAAATTAATTGCTTTAAATCATTGTTAAATATGTCTCGATTGTTCATACAATTTCACAACATTGTTACTGTGATTATCTTTATAATATTTTATATATTTAGATACAATAAAATATTTACAAATATTTTATTTTCTCAATGGACAACCCTTGCCACCAAAACTGTGGGTCGTCGTCCGATGAAGTGAGCGATGGCAAAATAAAATGAAGTGACAACTTAAGATGTCAAACTCGCTTCCAAGTGTTACATTACAATAACAATTGGTACCAACTAACAAGCCTTTACTGCTTAGGAATAAGGACCACACGACTTAAGAGCCCACGGTAGCTGTTATCGTTGATAATTGAATATTTAAAGCTAGTTTATTTAAGTTAAGTTAATAATCGTGACCAGCATATAATATGGTTCAAAGAAATTTGTAACAGACATTCCTTAAACCTTACCGTGACCCGAGGATTTAAACATTATCTAAATGAAGATCGTGCCTTCGCTGCGACATATACACACAAATGGCGGACTGTTAGCGTGTAGGTGTGAAAAGCACAAACACATACACACATTTAAGATTAATTCAAAAATGTAAGCAATATGAACCATATAGAGACGAAATCTCTAAGCATCCAATGTATTCACCGTGCGGGTGTCGGGTCCATCGTTGTAGTGAGAGGAGCTTCAACAGTGACTGGGACTTGCGACCCAGGTGTAGGTTTAAGGGGACCACTATCTTACGCGTTAAACGCTCACCCCCACTGTCCAAACTCCTCTCTCTACCTAACCATTATTATCTATTTCTATTCTTCTTCTTCCTGGCAATTTCTCAGCTTTTAGCCAGGCACTGCCTCACATGTTGTAAATAGTTTTGGCTAATTGTTTTTACGACCGGCCGCCTGTTTGACATCAACCCTCTTTGGGAAAATATCTATTTCTATTATATGTAAATAATATCGCAGTGTTTTCATACCATAATTCTGAACATCTCAGATCAGTGAAGCCGTGTTTGCTTCCACTGACGTCGACCGTTAAATAGTAAAGCAAACATTTCATGTACTCGCTCGCCTCATTATAACGTGTCGTTAAGCGACAATTGATACAACAAACATAAGGAACGTCAGGTAGCAAAACTAGTTTCAGAATCAGATATAACTTAACAGCGCCATAGAATAAAGATTCGTTTATTTTTATCTATACATTGGAATAACTAGAAACAAGCATTATATAATTATTTTGCTATTCTTAATCTTTAATACGACTAATAATAAAATCGAAATCTAAGAGATAGAAAAATTATTAAAGATTATAAGTAAGAATAGTTTGTAATACCAAACTTTTTCGATTAAAAAGCGTTGTTGGATATATATAGTAGACTTAGATTATTATGATTGTGATATAAACATTTGAATTTAAATATATATATAGCAATTATATATAAAAAAGACCGCGAATTATCGTTTAATTATAATGTTAACGAAAGGCGACTGGGTTAGGTTACGTTATTATCAAAACAAGTGATAAATACCTAATAGATGTTGATTAAAAGCGTGTATCGTATGATAAACGATGTGTCCACTTTGTAGCGGCCGCTGATAACAGAATTAATGAATGTACCAAGTAGATAAGAGTCGCGAAATTTCGTACTCAATATTGGCTGTATGACCGCAAACCTTTGTGTTATATAAATTATAATTAAAAAAAAAACACCGTTATTTTTCTCTATGGTAAACCAGTATGGTATAAACATGTCTTCAAGTTCATTAGTCGTTATCTTTTAATCTGCAATTGTTAGCACTATCTAGTTGAATTCAGGCCACGTTTTATCTTTTATCTATTGCAGCAAAAATTATATATAGAGCATTGTTGCTTAACAATCATATAGTTATATAAAACATAAATCAAATATATGACGTATAATTATGTTTAAAACAAGACTATTTATCTGTAGCTGAATCTGCATTGCGTATTGTGTGATAAATGATAAATAAATGGATTCTGCGCCATTACATGTTTTCTTAATGACGACTTATACGGTTATTAATTTTTATTTTATTTCTTTTTAGCGACGCAAACTTGATCTTTAAATCACATTAGAATTTTGAATTACAAACATCAAAAGGTCTATTGATTAACATAATATTTATAAGTAAATAACTATTTAATAGTCACAAATGAACAATCATGAATAGTAAATAATTCATGTAAATTTTTGATTTCAATATACTTACTGAACATTAACAGTTTTTCATTCATAAATCTTCATACATTATAGTTTTAAACGTAGACAATTAAATCAGCAACTATGTATAGATACTTATAATTTATTCACATTAGCTATAGAATTTATTAATATTAACATATTATATATAATGCCAGAAAAGCTATACAGGGTGACTGGTGAAATACTATCAATACTTTAGGACGTGATATTTGACGATCATATATGACAAAATAAAAATTAATATAACATAAATATTAATAAACTTCTAAGTAAAGTTAACCAAAAGTTATGTAATTAATTACGCATCGTGTGGACACCCTACAGATTAGGTATACACACACACACATACGCGTGTGGCGGCGTAGTGTTGTATCAGCACGCCGTACGGATACGGACGTACGCGTACGGACGCGTCCACACTTGGAACATTTGGAAGGTGCCCACGCTTTATTTATTTAAATACGGAAATTTTGTCAAAAATTAAGTACCTATTTTTTTTACATAATTCGAATGAGAATCATGTACCGAGTATTCTCCTTAAATATTGATAGTAATTCACCAGTCACCCTGTATAATGAATAATCGTGACAAACAATGTTTAATCTGTTGTAAAAATCGAATTAAGCCGAGCATTCAAATACCTTAGCTTCTAAATAGATCGTGACTTTATGACAACCGAAATAGCTATAGTATTTCTTTAGCAGTGAATTTCCGAGTATTAATAGGCCGCGGAGCAGCGGAATGTAATATTATTCACGGAATTACCAACTGCAAGGCAACTCAACACCGATTTATCAATGCACTACAACTCCGCTTACAAGAGAACTGTAACAGACACCCTTGAGATAAAAAAAAAACTCCATCAGTCTAGAAATGAAGAGGCGTTGTTTAGAAATGCTAAGTGGGAATATGCGGGCGGTTGTAGGATATTAAATTTCTCAAGAAACTCAGATTACTTAT